TCTGCCGCATGAAAAAAGTAGAAGGGGGTTACTGCGTAAATCATCTCTCTCATCCAGACGCGCAGGCCGCCCTTAACCAAGTGCTATAGATTCCATAATCTTTCACTCTGTCGAGAAAACAAAATACTTATTAGAAATAAATACAAAAAGTTTTGCATCTGTTATATATAATAAAAATGGGAGTGATCCTAACACCACCTTATCATCTTCATTAATATCTGTTTAAACAGAAAAGCATAAAATGTGATGCCAGAGCGACTGTTTTTAGGTCGCCTATAACAAATTAGGTGGGAAAATGGATAAACATTTGGGAATTTTCAGAGGAAAGGAATTACATGAGAAGGAAACTCAATAAAGTGATCTGAATTGTGAGAAAATGGATAAACCTAAGAAAATTACAGAGGGTCCTGCACATAGAGAAAAGGAATAGGGATGCATTCCTTTTGTCTACCTGACTTTCAGACAGCCATTTCAATTTTGTGAATTGATTGGACTGTGTACACTCATAAATTGAACAGTGACCATTATATTCATGCACAGACGCATGCATTGTGTGCACTATCCTAATTTCATAAGGTTCAATTTCATCCTTCTTTTGTGATGTATGTCTTGAACCCAATGTCTAGGCTATGCCCACAATTCAAAGTTAGTTAAGAATCAATAGTTCCAGCTGGCCAATTCTACTACAAGTATCAACATTTCTGAAAACTGGAAATCTTGACTATATGTCCTACAGCCATCACTAGCTTAATTGTCACCATACTCAACTAAACAATGTAAACACAACTTTATTCCAAGTTTTATTGACTATACACCAAAGACACCAAAAAACATAAGATATCTACATCCAAGCATCATTATGCAGTCACAGTCATCAGTCAGTGTTCAATCTGGTAGCTCCTACCCTATATCTGTGGGTACATGAGTATAAACACATTGTCCTGGAAATTTACAACAACCCAACAAAAGAGTGATAGCTTGCTATTCACATTTCCAAATGAACCACTGCTGGAAAAGGGGAGAATGTAAAAGTTATTACGAGTTACTAAATCTAAATAATGATTTGAGTAAACGAAATACTGACCCACAGGGTAAGACACAGACTATTTATTACAAGACAATAAGAATCAATTAATGAGAAATTATAGCAAAAGAAACCAATTCCACCACAGAATAAGAATTATTGGAGAGGTTGATCTAATTAAAATCTTTTTGAAGATGCTTAGATTGTAAATTAAATTAAATTGAAGTACATTTGACAAGCAGCTTTGTCAATAGATTTCACATTTGGCAAACATAAAGTAAGGAGAAAAATCAGACTTGCAAGATCAACACAGATTTCACTTACGAGAACATGTCATTTGGATCGATTTCAGGAAACAGGTTAACATAAAAGCGAAAGCCATCGGGGCTTATATCTCTGCATAGCAAACCTGCCAACAATATCCAATATTAATCAAAATTTAAAAAATATTAGAAATTCCTTTTGATAGGAAACATAACTTCTATGTAGAAAACATTATTAGAATATTGTCAAACAAAGTTGTGCAACAGTGTACCTTTGCTTTCAGCAGTAAGAAGATGCTCCTTGGCCATGCCTGGTGCAATACCTAATGTGATTGCAGCATCACTGGCACTTATCCCAGTTCGAAGAGCATCGGGCTTTGTTACAAGGGTCTTGATTCTAGCAAAAACCTAATTTGACAAACACAGTAAGTTGTGTCAAGCAACTTGAAATGGCTTCTGATATAGAATGACCGTGACATCATAATCAAAGATGCAGACAATGTGTAAATTTTAGCCTCTTACTTGGCCAAGATTTGTTTTCATCATTACCACAAAAGCAAAACAAAAAGATTTGTATTCATCACATAGCTTGAATGGCCAAGAATGAAAATCATTCTCCTTCCTCCTATTCCAGTGTTTACAACATAGTAATCAAGAGAAACATGGGAGCCATATAATATAGGCCCCGCATAAAATAAGGAATCTCATTCCTGTCCAGGAATCTCATTCCTGTCCAGGAATCTCATTCCTGTCCAGGAATCATTCTGACGATTTGGGAATCAAAATCATTTCCACCAGAAATGAAATATGTTTCAACCCACACAACTGTAGAATCTTATCAACATGAAACAGCTTACAGAGAGATAATAAGATCACCTCTTCATCACTATGGGACTTATTCTGGATGACCATGACTCCACTATCAAACTTTCGAAGCATTACAGGGCTGCAAACATAGAACGAGATTATATTATGGTAATAACAAGCTCATGTTACAATGCTACTGATATAGACTGGTATTTATTTTTCACTTATTACAAGTAATGAAGACTAGCATTTATATTTTGCATTATCATACAAAGGTGCATCCATGCTTTCAAATAAACAAATTTAAGAAATTCCTACATACACGTCAAACTTCTCCCAGAGAGAACATGCTTGCAGCAAATCTTCTGGCGAGATCAATTCTGCATAAAGATAGATAACAATCCATGTTTGACCCTTTAAACATCCTGACAAGAACTCAGAACTTAACAAAGTCATGGAACAAAATTAAATTAAAACAAGAGCTCTGATATCATCACACAAAACCTGTGCCTCGAGCACGATTGAAGAGACAGTAGATGTCTATAAGATTCATCATTCCCCCAGATCTCTCAAGTGGAAGTCTGACAAAATCTGCTAACTATTTACCAAAAACAACAGAAAATGAGTTTTCTCCTCTAAGATGAAAGATATAAAAAACTAATAAACAACATGAGGTATTTTTCATAAATCAATAATGTGAACATCCAATAAGAATAAACGTGTATATCAGACAAGTTAATACAATACAGTTTAACAAGATAAATCAGAATTGCACAATAGAAATTTCCTAGCATAACTTCAAATTGCTTGGTCAAGAATTTTTAAAAAAATTTATTTTGAAACGAGATTGGTCTAGAAATATTGTTTACATTTTGTTGCTTTTTAACGAGGAATAGCTCAGGGTCTAAGGATGGCGCTAACTTTCTCTTCAATGGCACAGACTGATATTCCAGTGATACAATCTGACTTTACAGTTCACTTGATCATCAATTGCTAAAGAGAGAAACTAAACAAAGTGGTTTCATTCACAAAGAATATAGAGAGAAGACAACCTGACGGGACAATTGTTGGTGATACATAGCACCAGCAGACTCCTTGGTAACAGGCGATATAATACCAACACTCAGCAACCAATCTTGCATCTCTTGTTTGGAACCCAATTCTTCATCATTTTCCGCACTGGGCTGAGAAGTCGAGCCAGATAAAAGTTTCTGCCTCATTTTCTCTGCTAGCATCACCATCTCTTTAGCCTTACTCTGTAAATTTAATATTGCTCTACAACTTAAAGCCATTCACAAACAGAGAACATAACATTGGTTCAAAAGTATCTACACTGAATGCACCCACAAGTCAAAAATATATAATAAAAAATAAGAATACAAGCCTACTTTCAGGACTCAAATGCAATTACTTTTAAAATTTAGAAAAATAAAAAATAAAAATCCAGTGTTCACTAGCTAAGCCGCATATTATAGCCTTCAGCTGTGCATTCAACAATTTTTTCGGCAACTAAGCAAAACATATATGATCACAAACCCAAAAACGAAAAGCCTAAGACAAAAATTCTCAATAAAAGTCCTTCAACACATATTCTCATCAACCCAGCACAGCATTGCAAATTACTTTCCCAAAAATCAAATACTTGAGATGCAGACATACACAAAAAGGCACATTTACCCTATCGATTTCAGAATTTTCCCCCATTCAGTGAACAGCCAGATTCTACTTTCCCAGTTGATACAAAACTTAAATTCATGGAATTCAACAATTATCTTAGTAACCAAACAGGCAGCATTACCATGAGAGCATTCAAGTCCTGGAAAGCGTCTTGCAAGCTCTTATCAGTACTCTCCCACATCTCCTGCTCCTTCCTTAGAATCCCTGACACTCCAACCATCCTCACCGCCCCTTCCCTCGTATACATCCCAGAGCTCGACCCGGAACCCGAAGCAACATCCGAGCCGGCCTGCTCATGCACAATCTCCCAGGCCCTTCCCCGCCAGCTGTCCCAAAACTTGTTCAAAAAGGCGTCCAAATCGCCCTTCCCCCTGACCACGACCGTCACCACCACGGACCTTGAACCAGAACCCGAATCCAAAACCCAGCCGTCGGGCGAGACCGAGAGCTGGAATCGGAGCCGGGGTGAGGCGAACATGGACTTGATTGACTTTTTGGCGGAGAAGATGTGGGTGATGGCGGCGAGAGGGATGGCGGAGGCTGAAGAGGCGGCGGTGGACTCGGGAAGCCATAAGAGGCGGTGGGTGGTGAGAATGAGGAGACCCGATTTGAGGTGAGGGAAGTTGGGGAGGTCTTCGCATTCGAGGTCTACAGTGGAGAGGAGTGAGCATTCGATCTCCGTTGGAAGGAGGACTGGGCGGCCGCTGGTGGTTAGTTCCGCCGCTTGCAGGCAGTTTCTGGCCATTTGATGATCATACGATGATGATGATGATATGAAGAATTTGTGCTGTAGGATTGATTAGTATGATGTAGTTTGATGTTGCTAATTGTAAGTCAAGTTACTCAATTAAACTCAAGGGGGAAACTTCAACACAAGTCAGAAAAGGCTTTACACGAGCCATGTCGGGTATGGGAGAAAATGTCTTTTTTATTTTTGGACAAATCAATGTTTTGGTATTATTGCTTCTTCTATTTTATTTTTGTCATTTTCTAGGAAAACTTATTACTTGGAATGAGGAAAGTCGTGAATCGAGGAAGTAAGGAATAGGCAAGAGAAGAAATGAGTATGGAATCAACTACTTCTACCTAAATCAATCTAATTTTTGTATTTACAGATATTGAATTGGGATCCGTATACTTCTTAATTTCGTACGTAAGTAAACTCAAGCAAAATCAAGAGTAAAAATAATTTCTCTCCTTCCTCCTATTCCAGTGTTTACAACATAGTAATCAAGAGAAACATGGGAGCCATATAATATAGGCCCCGCATAAAATAAGGAATCTCATTCCTGTCCAGGAATCTCATTCCTGTCCAGGAATCTCATTCCTGTCCAGGAATCTCATTCCTGTCCAGGAATCTCATTCCTGTCCAGGAATCTCATTCCTGTCCAGGAATCTCATTCCTGTCCAGGAATCTCATTCCTGTCCAGGAATCTCATTCCTGTCCAGGAATCTCATTCCTGTCCAGGAATCTCATTCCTGTCCAGGAATCTCATTCCTGTCCAGGAATCTCATTCCTGTCCAGGAATCTCATTCCTGTCCAGGAATCTCATTCCTGTCCAGGAATCTCATTCCTGTCCAGGAATCTCATTCCTGTCCAGGAATCTCATTCCTGTCCAGGAATCTCATTCCTGTCCAGGAATCTCATTCCTGTCCAGGAATCTCATTCCTGTCCAGGAATCTCATTCCTGTCCAGGAATCTCATTCCTGTCCAGGAATCTCATTCCTGTCCAGGAATCTCATTCCTGTCCAGGAATCTCATTCCTGTCCAGGAATCATTCTGACGATTTGGGAATCAAAATCATTTCCACCAGAAATGAAATATGTTTCAACCCACACAACTGTAGAATCTTATCAACATGAAACAGCTTACAGAGAGATAATAAGATCACCTCTTCATCACTATGGGACTTATTCTGGATGACCATGACTCCACTATCAAACTTTCGAAGCATTACAGGGCTGCAAACATAGAACGAGATTATATTATGGTAATAACAAGCTCATGTTACAATGCTACTGATATAGACTGGTATTTATTTTTCACTTATTACAAGTAATGAAGACTAGCATTTATATTTTGCATTATCATACAAAGGTGCATCCATGCTTTCAAATAAACAAATTTAAGAAATTCCTACATACACGTCAAACTTCTCCCAGAGAGAACATGCTTGCAGCAAATCTTCTGGCGAGATCAATTCTGCATAAAGATAGATAACAATCCATGTTTGACCCTTTAAACATCCTGACAAGAACTCAGAACTTAACAAAGTCATGGAACAAAATTAAATTAAAACAAGAGCTCTGATATCATCACACAAAACCTGTGCCTCGAGCACGATTGAAGAGACAGTAGATGTCTATAAGATTCATCATTCCCCCAGATCTCTCAAGTGGAAGTCTGACAAAATCTGCTAACTATTTACCAAAAACAACAGAAAATGAGTTTTCTCCTCTAAGATGAAAGATATAAAAAACTAATAAACAACATGAGGTATTTTTCATAAATCAATAATGTGAACATCCAATAAGAATAAACGTGTATATCAGACAAGTTAATACAATACAGTTTAACAAGATAAATCAGAATTGCACAATAGAAATTTCCTAGCATAACTTCAAATTGCTTGGTCAAGAATTTTTTTTAAAATTTATTTTGAAACGAGATTGGTCTAGAAATATTGTTTACATTTTGTTGCTTTTTAACGAGGAATAGCTCAGGGTCTAAGGATGGCGCTAACTTTCTCTTCAATGGCACAGACTGATATTCCAGTGATACAATCTGACTTTACAGTTCACTTGATCATCAATTGCTAAAGAGAGAAACTAAACAAAGTGGTTTCATTCACAAAGAATATAGAGAGAAGACAACCTGACGGGACAATTGTTGGTGATACATAGCACCAGCAGACTCCTTGGTAACAGGCGATATAATACCAACACTCAGCAACCAATCTTGCATCTCTTGTTTGGAACCCAATTCTTCATCATTTTCCGCACTGGGCTGAGAAGTCGAGCCAGATAAAAGTTTCTGCCTCATTTTCTCTGCTAGCATCACCATCTCTTTAGCCTTACTCTGTAAATTTAATATTGCTCTACAACTTAAAGCCATTCACAAACAGAGAACATAACATTGGTTCAAAAGTATCTACACTGAATGCACCCACAAGTCAAAAATATATAATAAAAAATAAGAATACAAGCCTACTTTCAGGACTCAAATGCAATTACTTTTAAAATTTAGAAAAATAAAAAATAAAAATCCAGTGTTCACTAGCTAAGCCGCATATTATAGCCTTCAGCTGTGCATTCAACAATTTTTTCGGCAACTAAGCAAAACATATATGATCACAAACCCAAAAACGAAAAGCCTAAGACAAAAATTCTCAATAAAAGTCCTTCAACACATATTCTCATCAACCCAGCACAGCATTGCAAATTACTTTCCCAAAAATCAAATACTTGAGATGCAGACATACACAAAAAGGCACATTTACCCTATCGATTTCAGAATTTTCCCCCATTCAGTGAACAGCCAGATTCTACTTTCCCAGTTGATACAAAACTTAAATTCATGGAATTCAACAATTATCTTAGTAACCAAACAGGCAGCATTACCATGAGAGCATTCAAGTCCTGGAAAGCGTCTTGCAAGCTCTTATCAGTACTCTCCCACATCTCCTGCTCCTTCCTTAGAATCCCTGACACTCCAACCATCCTCACCGCCCCTTCCCTCGTATACATCCCAGAGCTCGACCCGGAACCCGAAGCAACATCCGAGCCGGCCTGCTCATGCACAATCTCCCAGGCCCTTCCCCGCCAGCTGTCCCAAAACTTGTTCAAAAAGGCGTCCAAATCGCCCTTCCCCCTGACCACGACCGTCACCACCACGGACCTTGAACCAGAACCCGAATCCGAAACCCAGCCTTCGGGCGAGACCGAGAGCTGGAATCGGAGCCGGGGTGAGGCGAACATGGACTTGATTGACTTTTTGGCGGAGAAGATGTGGGTGATGGCGGCGAGAGGGATGGCGGAGGCTGAAGAGGCGGCGGTGGACTCGGGAAGCCATAAGAGGCGGTGGGTGGTGAGAATGAGGAGACCCGATTTGAGGTGAGGGAAGTTGGGGAGGTCTTCGCATTCGAGGTCTACAGTGGAGAGGAGTGAGCATTCGATCTCCGTTGGAAGGAGGACTGGGCGGCCGCTGGTGGTTAGCTCCGCCGCTTGCAGGCAGTTTCTGGCCATTTGATGATCATATGATGATGATGATATGGAGAATTTGTGCTGTAGGATTGATTAGTATGATGTAATTTGATGTTGCTAATTGTAAGTCAAGTTACTCAATTAAACTGAAGGGGGAAACTTCACCACTAGTCAGAAAAGGCTTTACACGAGCCATGTCGGGTATGGGAGAAAATGTCTTTTTTATTTTTGGACAAATCAATGTTTTGGTATTATTGCTTCTTCTATTTTATTTTTGTCATTTTCTAGGAAAACCTATTACTTGGAATGAGGAAAGTCGTGAATCGAGGAAGTAAGGAATAGGTAAGAGAAGAAATGAATATGGAATCAACTACTTCTACCTAAATCAATCTAATTTTTGCACGTAAGTAAACTCAAGCGAAATCAAAAGTAAAAATAATTTCAATACCCATATATTAGTAGAAAGAAGTCATGAATCAAAATAGTGTTAGTACCCTTCTATGTAAATAAATATGCCATTATTTTCTTTCCCCAAAACCCAAATCTGATCATGCACAAAACTCCAAAAATTATCTTTATTCTTAAGCCTGGAAAACTAAGGATGGAAATTTTTTTTATATGGAAGTCACAATGAAAATAATTAGCCAAATATCTTTATCCCTACAACTTATTACTTTGTCTTTTCATATGTGTGTGAACGCTTCAACTTCCATCCACTTGATAAAGTAGTCAATTGCTACAAGAGATAGGAGGTATTGTATTTGTTTTAGCGTCTTTCGTAAAGGGCTTATTATGCCTAAAACCCACTACGTGAATGTCAAGACCCACCCTTAAATTTTTCCTTAAAACCCGAGAGGAGCTCTGAACATGTTTGACACCTATTGATTTTCTTTTGAGACTCGAGAAAAGCCCTGAGCATGTTTGACACCTATTGATTTTCCCTTGAGACTCAAGAAAAGCCCTAAGCATGTTTGACACCTATTGAGCATGTTTAAAGAAAGGTTCAAAAACAAGAAATAAATGAAAATCATACGATAATAAAGGTGATTGGAAATGAGTGGAAAGATATGATTCAATGTAGCTTGAGTCGACCTCAAAATCTACTACCTGGGCTAAATAATTTCTTAGTTTACCCATGAACTTAACAAAAAATTTGACGAAATTAAAAGAAAAGACCATTAATGCAACATATAACATAATTTGAGAATAACAACAACTATAAGTAGAATTCGAAGATGAAAATGCAAATTGGTATAATTCATAGACCATTGCTACAATTTAATCTATATTTTTAACCTTTTTTGGTAAAGAAAACTCAAAAATTCAAAAGTAACTTAACCCAAAAACAAATTATCACACTTGACCCAAAAAATTATCACACAGTAGCATTGCCCGAGAACCAAAACTAAGAAAATTTTCTCTCTCTTTCGTTTCACGTCAAACATCAAAACCAATGCTTGCTTTACACGACATAAAGGTTAATGCAGAGACTACTCGGGTCCCAGTCCCACTAACGACGTGTCTAGTCAAAGTTCAAATACTCAACTGTGATTTACAACCAAAAAAGGGGTTGCAAGAAGAATATGGCAAATTGGGCCAAATTTAGACGTATTTCTTAAAAGGCTAATTTTCGTTTTTGAATTTTGATTCACTGTGTTGGTGTTGGTGTTGGGCATCAACCCATTAGGTAATATACTTTGCTAGTCTTTTCTGACCAAAACATGTATTAGTCTTTGACAGTCACACACAGATGCAACAATAAAATACATACTTGTTTGTTTCTTTTTTGATTCGAGGATGAACACGTGGACTACAAAATTCTTCATATTAACTTTCTCTTGGAAAATAGAAACTTATTGGGTAAGTAAGTGGTGTATTGAAGGCTGAAATTGTTTGCAGGAATTGTCAACCATTGATGATCTACCTGCAAGTAATGTGGAACTTGAACCAGAAAGGATAGAAGATGGGAAAGATGGAGGTCCTGCCTTCCATTGTGATCTTTACGATACAGAATTAGTTCACAAGATAGCTCAAGTTTTCATCCCTGGATTAGCTACAGCTTGTGTTGACAATACATCTGGTGATATCTTCTGGACCCCTGCTTCAGTGGCTGCTGATGTGAGAAAGGAGATGGTGGAGTATATCACTCAGAGAAGTGAAAATTTTGTTGCAGAATCAGTTATCTTAGAAGGTGGCGCAGATGCACAAGTATCTGATCATCCTTATGATATAATTTCTGATTTTGTTGATGACTTTGCAAGTTCCAAGAGAAATTTGTTTAGTCGGGTTTCAGGATGGTTGCTAAGTGAAAAAAGAGAAGATAAGATAGATGATTTCGTGCAAGAGATGGAAATAAATGGGTTTTGGTTGCTTGATAGAAGAGAAACAATAGCTCAGTCTTTGCTAAAGAATGTGGACTTTAAGAATGAACACCACTGCAATATGAAATTTAACTCTCCTGTGGAGCTTGCAGAGCATGTTTCAGACTGCAGTTTTAGGTCTATGACTTGCACAAATCGAGGATGTAGTACCGTTTTTTGTGCAAGTCACAAGGAGAAACATGACTCAATTTGCCCCCTCAAGATTATTCCATGTGAACAAAACTGCTGCAGTACCATCATGAGACGCGACATGGACAGACATTGTATTACTGTCTGTCCAATGAAGCTTGTTAGTTGTCCTTTCTATGCGGTGGGTTGTCAATCTCCTGTTCCGCACTGTAAAGTTGAGCAACATAATTCAGATGATCTCCATTCTCACTTGCTTTTTGTTCTTCAAAGTATTCACAAGGAAGCATCGGTGGAGGATCTGGAAAAACAGCTGGAGCGACTGAAAAAAGTGAGTTTCATGGTATTTTCCTTGCATTTATGTTAATAACTTTAAGGTCAAATTACCACAATAATCTGCAATTTCATATCAGCAAACTTATATATAAAATACTTAAAAGCATTGAATAAGAAAAATAAATCTGCTTGTACAGCGGCATGCTAAGTACTAAATATTCCGATTGCCAATATCTTTATGGATCTGTATACTTCCATCTTTCTTCATTAGAACAGCTCGAGGGAGTGCTCTGCTATGATTAGCCGTTTTAAGACTCAGTTATACTCTTCAATCCAGTAATTGCTGTTCTCTTTTAACCATGCAGAAATCTAGTTGAACAAAAGCTTTTCAATTTGTTTCATACATATGGGTGTTTCCAAAAGATTTTTTACATGTGGTACAACTTGTGGTAGTGTACACCCACATGTAGATTTAAAAGCTAAGGAAGTGAATAGCAAACCACTTGAGGATGTTGAAACAGAACTAGTGCCAAAAGAAGTAAACAGCAACAAATCCACAGAGGATCTTGAAATAAATCTAGCGCCAAGGGAAGTGAGCAGCAAACACTCAGAGGATCTTCAAGCAAAACTTGGCCCAAAGGAAGTGAGTAGCAAGTCCCCAGAGGATCTTGAAGCAAAACTTGGGCCAAAGGAAGTGAACTGCAAATCCCCAGAGGATGTTGAAACAAAACCAGGGCCAAAGGAAGTAGGCAGCAAACCCCTAGAGGGTCTTGGAACAAAAGTAGGGCCAGACAAAACGAGCAGCAAACTCTCAGAGGATCTTGAAGCAAAATTTGGGCCAAATGAAGTGAGTAGCAAACCTGCAGAAGATCTTGAAGCAAAACTAGGGCCAAAAGAAGTGAATAGCGAACCCCCTATGGATCTTGATGCTAAACTAGGGCCAACGGAAGTTAGCAGCAAGCCCCGACAGGATGTTGAAGCAAAAATAGGGCCAAATGAAGTGATCAGCAAACACTCGAAGGATTTTGAAGCAAAACCAGGGCCAATGGAAGTCAGCAGCAAAGACTCTAAGGATCTTGAAACAGAACTGACGACAACGGAAGTGAGCAGCAAACCGAACGATAGTAAAGAGAGGAGGGAAACCTTGATTTCGAAAAATGTATTGGAGGAAGCTGAAACATAAACTCAAACCTGTCAAGTATCCAGTTTTATCAGACCTGATTCACAAATTAAAGAGTTCTTGCCTTACCAGAAATTGACAGCATCTGTAACTGTTCTCCACTGCCAATCAGGCAGTGTGATTTTTATATACTCTTAGATCAGCTTATTTTGTGCCCTGTTCTTTATTCCTTGTTCCCAATCACTCTTTGTAAGCATTATAATGTTGTGATAAAAATTATTTACTGCGGAAATATTTGTCTAGTGACATATCTATTGTTGTAGGGTGTTTTTCTTATTTTTGGGAAAAAGTCTGCTGTTGTATGCAGTGCCCCTCTGACATTAAACCTGCCACATGCAAGTTACATGAGCACTTTAAAAAAAAATTCATTTAGTATGAAACAGTTAAAAGGCAAGTTTAGAATCTCCAACAACAATGGAAAAGTGATACTTCGGCTTTAGCTCCAGTGGGAAGGGATTGGATAAATGTTCCCAAATAATAAATAAAATAAACGCAAGGGGCTTATAGCTCAAGTGATTAAAAGCATTTATTCTTGCACCCGAGGTCCTAGGTTTGATTCCCCTCTCTCTCAATATATCTTTTAGAGAGAGAGAGAGAGAGAGAGAGAGTAGTAAAACTATCTTGTAGATTGAGTTTACACCTACTCTATGGTCAGCTGATGATCTATTTGTAGTTATAACTTCATTTGGTTGGCATAGCTTGGATTGGAGTGACATTGCCTATTATACTCACAAAAATAGCTTTGCAGATGCTTGAACGATCATGTATACTAGTGCTCATTTGCTGCACAAAAATAGCCTAACAGAGACTGAAAGTTTCCTGCACAACTATTTATGCAATTCAATTTTCAAATCTAACTCCAACTGCACATCTATTTCTTCCAAAGCAAATTCATGACTTGTATTATTTCAGTAGTGCTTCTACTTTCTGGCTAAGCATATTAACTTTTAGCTATTGTTGAAAATGTTTTATCAATTGGTAAACTTCTGCAGATCTTGAAAAAAATTAAGATAAAAACTCAACAATAAATCATTGCTTTTCTTCTTGCATTCATGAGGCAGATCCTCATCCAGATACCATTGCAATTTTTTTAAAGACCTTCCTTCAGTTAGTTCAGGACAAATGTTGAGCTTAAAATTTGAACTCAAAAATCCAAGAGCAAATAGAGGGCATGCAAGGAAAGACAATCACATTAAAAAGAGCAGGTTCATTGAGAGATGGAATGTAGTTCGTGCGTGATCGTTTTATCAAACACATCTATTGAGCTTTCAAGAATGACTTGGATCAGTTTGAGGTTTACAAGTCAAAGACACATAACTCCTGCACTCCATTATTCTTTGCCAACACAAGGCCTTGCTCTCGTGGGTAGAATTATGGGCAAATCTATGCATACAGATCAATGCCCCAAAACTTGGCAGGCTGATTTGTCCGGTGTTTCCTGTCTACCTTTTTAATCAGGTCCATTTCCTCTTTCATAAGCTCAAAGTCAAAAACTTGGAAATTCTCGTTCAATCTCTCAAGTTTTGATGTCTTTGGGATGACAACTGTGTTGCGTTGGATGCCCCAGCGAAGGACAACCTGGGCTACAGTCTTTTTGTATTTCTCAGCCAGATTCTGATAGAGGAATGTGATTGAGAAGCCAGATTTTTTACAATTAGCACACAAAATGATGAGATTTATATTCCCAATAATTTGAAAATAAATCTAGTGATTCAAGTGATATAAAGGGAACTAGCTTACCTTAAGAACTGGATCATCCAGACATGAAACTGAACCAAACAATTCGCTGTTGGCCGCAGCACCTCCAAGAGGAGTGTGGGCAGTGACACAGATGCCATGCTTCTGACAGAATTTGACAAGAGAATCACGTTGGAAGTATGGGTGAGTTTCAATCTGATTCACAGCAGGCTTCACTTTGGAATAGACTAAGCAATCTCTCGTTAGAAAGATGTCATAGTTACTGCAGTTAATTGTTCCATCAGATCCCAATTCATAGAGAATTCACAAATGAATGAAATTAAAATGCCAAAACATAGAATATGAATGTTTTACTAGGGCTGGTGGCAAATATTAGACTAAGCTAGATGAAGGACATATAGAAAGTTCAATTTCTATGTTTATCAAAAAGATCAAAATTCCTAGGAGCAACAATAACAGTTCTTACTTCCAAGTTTCAAACAGGGTGATGGAGCAATAACAAAGTGACATGACCGGGTACTTAAAGGAGCTTACCCATATCATTCTATACATGTTCAGAAGAACACAAACTTGTTACTCATACTTCTTGACTAATATGATCGTAGCAGAAAAATAATACAATAATGTGATAGCTCACAAAATCAAACCTAATGGTATTCCAAAATGTGCACAAACAGCCACAAGCAAACAACACAAAATTTACCTTTTCCTGAACAAGACTAATATAACTCCTCCAACTGAAGCTGTTTTTGTAGAAATTTATTACCATTTTCACATACACAAGCATGCACACATTACTGCAAGGTTTCAATTTTCTTCAGCACATTCATTTATATTTTTCCAATTTGGTCTCCCAAATATTCACAAAATGAACTAACTTACATAATAGTATGTATAGAACCATAATATTGCACATGGAACAGTAGGAAAAGGTAATATAAAGTCACAATATTATTACTATTGATTCAAGTAGTCACTGAAATGTGCTAAATTATTATAATCACCTAATCCCAATGCTACGAACTAAACCCATAGAAACCAGTTCTTCCATAGCATGCCAGGTAGTTTCCAAAGATACGGATGTGTCTATTTCTAGCACCCCATCCTCATCCAAAGCACTTGCAGTTGCACCAACTCCTGCGTACATGAAAATAAATTGACAGATGAATTCCATATAAGGGTCAATAAATTTGAAGACTACAAGAAAACAGTTCATAAACAAATTCATAGAAGGATAATTATATTTTTCATCATTTTTAATTATCTAAAGGTACCATTCGTACTCAATAACAGTAATTGTGAGTAATTAGTTAACCAGCATACATGATAAAAGAACTAAGGTTGTGTGTGGTACACTGGAATTGGATGTCCAGTATGTTGCAGAGCCCACTTTTTATCTCTCCAAGCTCCAATCTCCCGACTCACAGTCGCTCTCAACCCACTTACTGGAACGTCATTGATGCATTTGAAACTTTTTATTTATTTTAATGTTCTCATCTAGCTTGTTCAACCTGTGAGAAAGTGTTCTGCAAATGTATTGTTTTCCTCCGTCAGTCTTCAATTTTGGGATCTTTGTTTAGGTGTCAAATGAACCTTAAGTTTGATTTGGTTTCATGAGTTTGGAATATAATTGCTTTCTGTTTCTTATTGAGGTCATTTGGCCTGTAATAAGTTTGATTAGATCATTCAGCAAATGTTCTTTAACCCCATGAAGTTGCTTTCCTTTTTTTCTTTTTTTTTTTACCATATGGTATAAAATTTCTTCTTAATCATACACGGGATTTACTGGTTTTGCTAGTTAATGAGGATGGAGCAGCATAAAGCCACACATGTAAACGGTCATGATTATGCCACAGTTAATATTATTTTTCTCAGTATCCTTGACAAGGAGGCATAGGTGAGAACTCTCCTCAGTGACACTATCTAGATGCGGATCTATTTGATGGCTGATGACTGTTCTAACACATTGTAAATTGTGGCTTTTGTAGAGGTTGATAATAGATACTTATGAATTTAACTCTTTCGTCCCTACATTAAACATGAGAGTATGACTCAACCCAAAGGTGTAACTCCTTTAACTTTCTTACTCACATATGAAGATATGGCATGTGTTAATGTTCAAATGGGAGTATGAAAATATATGAAGGCATATTGTCTATTTTTTTGTTTTTTTGTTTTTGTTTTTTATGTGTTAGCGTAATGCTTTTTATGAACTGTAACTTTTTGGTTTACTTTGTAATTAAGTATCGAATTAGGAATATATATGACTCTACATGGTGTATAACCCTCACTTGACTTTATTTATAGCGATATCAAGATATGGCAAATGTTGATGTTTACAGAAGGAGAATATTAAACTTTACAGAGAGATGTGTCCTGTAACAATTAGCTTGCATGGTGACCTTGCCCCCTTCCTAGACACGCAGCAGCACCATCAATGTTGTAGGATAGACATCGATAGCAAGTTAACCATTTTCTTTTGTACTCTATAGTTTTTAATCACACACTCCTATTGTCAAACAGATTTTAAAATTATACAGCCAACATTATAGGGACATAAAGTAGTAGAGTTTAGATTACATAACAGAATATAGAGAAGTATTGTATGAATAATGAGAAAAGCAGGAATTAATCACCAGTATGCTTGGTGGCAACAGGAAAGTGAACAAGGTATAGATCCAGATAATCCAACTGAAGTTTCTTCAGACTGTCTTTACAGGCCTCTACAACATGTCCATGATCTGAATTCCAAAGCTGCAAAAAGGATGAAGAAATGGGGAGAGAAAAAAAATTTCATCATAGTCTAGAATGCATAATATGCACTACTCGAGCAGAAAAAGAAAACTCTTGATTGAAAATTAAACGGGCCTTGGTGGTGATGAAGAGATCCTCTCGCTTAACAATCCCAGTCGAAAATGCTCCTGCAAGTGCCTCCCCTACTTCTGCTTCATTTTTGTAATCAGCTGAAAGCAACATTAACTTGTTCACGTATGTTACAGCCCAATGGGTAATTTGTGCTACTACCTACAACTAAGTTACCACCATAGAGGGCCAGACAGGAAAAAGAAAAATATAGAGGGATGAGAGAGATTAAGCTGGTAACTACATGTATCACATTTTTAAGTGCAAAGTCAACTTTGGAATCTAGTGGACTTGAGGATACTATAGATTGGTTGAATGCAAAACAAGGTTAGAATGCTTCACAATTTCCTTTTTAACCAAGCTCAAGCTCAAGGGCCCTGAGGTCGGGCAAATGAGTAGAACCTAGATTCAAATGTTGTTGTAAACAGGAAAAAATACCAAACCAAACCAAACCAAAAACCAGATAATAAGCTATTTCATACTCATGGCATTCAGTGGTGTCAAAATGCCAGTAGAAGAGGTGTGATACATTTCAGACACAAATTGGTAACTGGCAATCACCCTGGAAAAGAGAGGATATTTTGGGTTCAAACTGTCAAATTGTTGTGCTGTGTGCTTGCAACTAAATAAATTTATGGTTTCAATTTTACTATAATTTATAAACCTATCACCCATGGAACCTATATTTTATAAAACCCTCTTCAAACGCTCCAATTAAGCCATTTTCAACAAACTAAATTAAACCCACACTCCCCTTCCTCCACCCATATGAACAGCAAATAGTAAACTTGTACATGAAATAAGCAGAGAAACATATCAGAGAAAACATCGAGATTGACGATTGAGGAGAAAATGAAATACCAGCGCAATCAAAATGGCGGTAACCAATGTTGATGGCATTGATAATGAGGTCTCTGATTTCTTTTCCTTCCATGCGCCAAACACCAAGGCCGACTGCTGGCATTTTGAACCCATTGTTCAGTGTTATTGCCATTTTTCTTTGGACCCTTCAAAACCAGACTCACTCTACTGTGTCCTACTGGAGCTCACGACGCCAACACAGCTGCTTCGCCCTAAATCTATTGGCGTTGTCTCTGGGCAGTGGGCATTATCTATATATATAAAGCAAAAGGCAGAAAATGGTGAAACATTCAAAATACCATAAAATGACCTGGTTAATGCAAACATTAAGAATTAAAATTATTAATTAAATGAGGATAATATGGTAAATTCACACTTTTTTATATTTAAAAAAATTAAAATTAAAAGAAAAATTAAATAATGACCTATTTTTATGGAACACAACTACCCATTATCTTTTTTAATTCTAAAATAAATTTTATGTGATGTAAAGATTAAGGATAGGGTTAATTACATTTGCATCCCTCTAGTTTGGAGTTAGTGACAGTTTGGTCCCTATTTTACAATATTGACACTACTTCAAGGTAATAGGAGGATATTTATTGAGTTAAAAAAGTCAAATCGTTAAAACCGAATCAAACCGTAATGGTTTGGTTGCGGTTTTGGGCTTTCTAAAACCGGCTTAACTAAATCAAACTGTGTACTTATACATTAATATTTTTATTTTAAACATGTAGTTCTAGAAAATGCCCTTGGTTAATTCAAACATTAAAAATTGAAATTATTAATTAAATAAGGATAATATGGTTAGTTCACTTTTTTTTTCTTCATATTATTAAAAAAAAACAAAATCAGATAATAGATCATACTTTTATGGGACATAAGTACTCATGTTATCTTTTCATAATTCTAAAAATAAAATAAAAAAGAAAAAAGAAAACCAATTGGCAATGTAGTGGTTTGGAGCACTTACTCCTCTTGGCAAAGTCCTAGATTCAAGTCCTAGCATCCGTGTAGTGTGTTTGAGTTTAATATATTATCGCCTCTGTCAATAATAAGAAAAGTCCTTAAAAAAACTAGGATCTTAAAAAAAAAAATGTCTAGGGATGTTTAATTTGAAGTTTTATAGAGCTTTAAAGTTATTGATCTTTGAATTGTATATATATTAAATATTGAACTTTAAAATTTTATGTTATGTTGAATTTTAAGATGGTTTGTTGTTGTAATTGGACTACAAAGTTTTTTTTTTAAAAAGCGTAAAAGTAAAAAGGATTGGGCTTAAGACCCAAGCTGGCCATACCAAACCATCAACAATTAGTTTGGTTTAATTTTCTTCGTAGTTTTTGTCAAAATCGAACTAAACCAAATTGTTCTATTGTAATTGGTTTGTTGATTTTGGTGTGAAACTAATCTAGTTCGGACCATGCCCACCTCTACTCTTTATATACAGCTAGAGTCCAGAGTTTTATTTCAAACAATGTGCAAATCGAAAGTAAAATGAATATTTTTTTTTAATACAAGCGATACTCTAAATTACAAGAGGGAGGGTTGGCAAACTAAAATGATTTTTTGTTTAAAAAAAAACAAAATTTATTATTATTATTTTGAAATACCCCCACAACCATCCGGGTCAATTTGCCTCCTTTTCACTATCATAAAGGTCCAAAGGTAAGCCCACATGCCTCCAAATCAAGGTCTAACATATAGAGAGTTTTGGAAATATCGGTGGTCCAAAAATACGGATATATCGATGGAAATATCGAGGAAATATCGATATCGATAAAAATTGAATAAAATCATGGAAATTGTGAGAAATACTTGGAAATTTTTATTGAAACTTTAGAGGATGTTTATTTAGTCAATTGTCTATTATTTTATCACAAAAAATTGGAATAAAATGTATGGCATAGTGGGTTTGAGTGATTTAAGTTGATTATGTAGCGACCTGACAAACACTGTGTCTTTAGAAAATATGTAGTAATTAGTGAAAGAAAATTAAACACACCATAATTTTTTAGTTATAATAATTTACTACAATATATTACATATGATAAGATATATGAGCTTGACAAAAAAACAAAAATAAAATATATGAGTAACTTAGTACCACATAGAAAGAATTCTTATTAAAGTTAAAACTTAGTATCACATATAATGAACAATATTAAAACTCAATAGTGAATAATAATACAACTCCATAATATATAACCAAAAAAAAAAAATACAACTCCATAATAAAATAATAAATAACATTAAACATATGCCTAAATTTATCATTACGGATTTTTTTTTTATGGAAATTTATCCTAAATAATATTACCTTGCAGAAATTTTAAAGACCATATAAATATTACACATCGTAGCTTTATTAACAAACTTATTCGCAGCGTGTTGGATAAGGCCCAGTAGATAGATGGGAAAATGAGGGGTTCGAATCTGCTTGTTGGCAAAACCACCATTTCTCAACAAATTTCATTTATTTTTCAGTTTCATATCGCGATATTATCGAGTAGGAAATTATCGCCTCCGACATTATCGCAATAATATCGATATTTAAGACTGTGCTCCAAACTAAACTGAAGCATTACAGGTTTTAACCAACTGTTTTTTTTCGTTAATAAATATATCATATATCTTCTTCATATTAGTGGGACAAGCAAATTTTTCTTTTAATCATTTACGCTAAAAAATACATTACAAAATTTAAATGGTAAATTTTATTAATGTTTCCTGATCTTGGGATCATGTCTTATATGGGCCAAATTTTGGTCCATAAACTTTAAAACATGTAATTTGCTTCGCATTATGATATATGGGCCTTCTGCCTTCGGTTCCAGTCTCGGGCCCAAGCTTTCATACGCATATTAAAATGTTATTTTATATAGAATTTTGGTGGTGAATGCACTCCTTTTATGAAAAAATATATATATATATATATATATATATATATATATATATATATATTTG